GATCCGTCTCCTCCGTCTGAGTTTTATCAAACTCTGAAATGTCAAGTTAAACAGAATCACCCGACACAAGATCTTCACCTTCGTCCCTCGACCTCCAGGTGAGAACAGATCCCAGATCAGCACATTCACACTGACACCAGTCTGACAGGCGCTGAGTCACACTGACAGGTGCAGACAGGTGCAGACAGGTGCAGACAGGGCCTGGTCATCTCCAGAGGAGAGAGAACTAGAGCAGAAGAGACTTTTATAGTTCCTTATCGTGTCTAACAGCCTCATGTGTTTTATCTTGTTCCTGTTATTTGTCTGTATTTTGTTGAGTCTGTACTTCATGACTTTACACGTCGTGGAGTGGTGTGGAGGAGGTGGAGGAGGTGTGGAGGTGTGAGGAGGTGGAGGTGTGGAGGAGGTGTGGAGGTGTGGAGGAGGTGTGGAGGAGTGTGGAGTGTGAGGTGGAGGTGTGGAGGTGGAGGAGGTGTGGAGGGTGGAGGTGTGGAGGAGGTGTGGAGGAGGTGGAGGTGGAGGAGGTGTGGAGGAGTGTGGAGGGTGTGGAGGTGTGGAGGGAGGTGTGGAGGTGTGGAGGTGTGGAGGGTGTGGAGGAGGTGTGGAGGTGTGTGTGGAGGAGGTGTGGAGGAGGTGTGGAGGAGGTGTGGAGAGGTGTGGAGGTGTGGAGGAGGTGTGGAGGTGTGGAGGTGTGGAGGAGGTGTGGAGGAGGTTGTGGAGGTGTGGAGGTGTGGAGGAGGTGTGGAGGTTGTGGAGGAGGTGTGGAGGAGGTGTGTGGAGGTGTGGAGGGAGGAGGTGGAGTGTGGAGGAGGTGTGGAGGAGGTGTGGAGGAGGTGTGGAGGTGGGAGGAGGTGGGAGGAGGTGTGGAGGAGGTGTGGAGGTGTGGGAGGTGTGGAGGTGTGGAGGAGGAGGTGTGGAGGAGTGTGGAGGTGTGTGAGGAGGTGTGGAGGAGGTGTGGAGGAGGTGTGGAGGTGTGGAGGTGTGGAGGAGGTGTGGAGGAGGTGTGGAGGTGTGGAGGGTGTGAGGTGGTGTGGAGGAGGTGTGGAGGAGGTGTGGAGGTGTGGAGGAGGTGTGGAGGTGTGGAGGAGGTGTGGAGGAGGTGTGGAGGTGTGGAGGAGGTGTGGAGGTGTGTGGAGGAGGTGTGGAGGTGTGGAGGTGTGGAGGGTGGAGGAGGTGGAGGTGGTGGAGGTGTGGAGGTGTGGAGGAGGTGTGGAGGTGTGGAGGTGTGGAGGTGGAGGTGTGGAGGAGGTGGAGGAGGTGGAGGAGGTGGAGGAGGTGTGGAGGTGGAGGTGGAGGTGTGGAGGAGGTGTGGAGGAGGTGTGGAGGAGGTGGCGTGGAGGAGGTGTGGAGGAGGTGTGAGGAGTGAGGAGTGTGAGGAGGAGGTGTGGAGGAGTGTGAGGTGTGGAGGGTGTGAGGTGTGAGGAGGTGGAGGTGGAGGAGGTGGAGGTGTGGAGGAGGTGTGAGAGGGTGTGGAGGTGTGGAGGTGTGGAGGTGTGGAGGTGTGGAGGTGTGGAGGTGTGGAGGAGTGTGGAGGTGGAGGTGTGGAGGAGGTGTGGAGGTGTGGAGGAGGAGGTGTGGAGGTGTGGAGGTGTGAGGTGTGAGGTGTGAGGAGGTGTGGAGGTGTGGAGGAGGTGTGGAGGTGTGGAGGTGTGAGGGAGGTGGAGGAGGTGGAGGTGTGGAGGAGGTGTGGAGGTGAGGTGTGGAGGTGTGGAGGAGTGGAGGAGGTGTGGAGGTGTGGAGGAGGTGTGAGGAGGTGTGGAGGTGTGTGGAGGAGGTGGGAGGTGTGGAGGAGGTGTGGAGGAGGTGTGGAGGAGGTGTGGAGGAGGTGTGGAGGTGTGAGGAGGTGTGGAGGGTGTGGAGGAGGTGTGGAGGAGGTGTGGAGGAGGTGTGGAGGAGGTGTGGAGGTGTGGAGGAGGTGTGGAGGTGTGGAGGTGTGGAGGTGTGGAGGTGTGGAGGTGTGGAGGTGTGGAGGTGTGGAGGAGGTGTTGGAGGGAGGTGTGGGGAGGTGTGGGAGGAGGTGTGGAGGTGTGGAGGAGGAGGTGTGGAGGTGTGGAGGAGGTGTGGAGGTGTGGAGGTGTGGAGGAGGTGTGGAGGAGGTGTGGTGGAGGTTGTGTGGAGGAGGTGTGGAGGTGTGGAGGAGGTGTGGAGGAGGTGTGGAGGAGGTGTGGAGGTGTGGGAGGTGTGGAGGAGGTGTGAGAGGTGAGGAGGAGGTGTGGAGGTGTGGAGGTGTGGAGGAGGTGTGGAGGTGTGGAGGAGGTGTGGAGGTGTGGAGGAGGTGTGGAGGTGTGGAGGAGGTGTGGAGGTGTGGAGGTGTGGAGGAGGTGTGGAGGTGTGGAGGAGGTGTGGAGGAGGTGTGGAGGTGTGGAGGTGAGGAGGTGTGGAGGTGTGGAGGTGTGGAGGTGTGGAGGTGTGGAGGTGTGGTGGAGGAGGTGTGGAGAGGTGTGGAGGTGTGGAGGTGTGGAGGTGTGGAGGAGGTGTGGAGGAGGTGTGGAGGAGGAGGTGTGGAGGAGGTGTGGAGGAGGTGTGGAGGAGGTGTGGAGGAGGTGTGGAGGAGGTGTGGAGGTGTGGAGGAGGAGGAGGTGTGGAGGAGGAGGTGTGGAGGAGGTGTGGAGGAGGTGTGGAGGTGTGGACATGTTCAGCCCTTTAGTCGCCACGTTTAAAACAGGAAGTGAACACGAGTGTGATTTGGCTCCATTGACTCTAATTCACTTTGCAGAGATTTTTTTCACAACGACCAGAATTCCCAGACTGTAGAGTCCAGTCCACAAACCGTCTGGACTGTGACTCCAGATTTTTGAGTCGTAGTTTCAAAGTCAAAAGGTGAGTTTGTTTGGTCTCGTGTGTCTGTTTCCGTCCACACGGTGCACGGATCCACCTGAACCTGAACCTGAACCTGAACCTGAACTGAACCTGAGTGAGTGCAGAACAGTTTTCCTTCATTCTGCACAAATCGTTTCACAGTTTTCATCCCAGTTTTTTATTTTGAAAATCTGGTCGTCCTGAGTCTGAGAGCCAAACAAAATCCAAAACAGCTGCTTTTTAAAAATCCCACGGCGTTTCTGAACACTAATGTTATTTTATTATTACAGACATATTTTCTGTCCTCCTCACGTCTCGCTCACGTCAGTAATTTCAGTGTTTTATTTCTTTTATTTCTTCTTAGATGAGAAAACTACTGAACCTCCCACAACCTCAAGACCTGGTACTTCTCCTACTTCTGCTACTGCTACTCCAACTTTTTCCAGTGATATTTCAACACAAGTGAAAGTCCAGGACCAGACTAACTCTCCTTCACCCTTCACTCGCTGTACTAAACACTGCAGATTCTCAAGCGTTGTTTGCTCAGATCTTTAAAATAATCCCTAGTTTTTGGTTCCTGTGCAGTGCTGGTGTCGGTCGTCGTCCCCGTGGTCGTGTGTGTGGCTCTTCTGCTCATCTGTGTGGCTCTCGTTCTGTGGAGGAAACTC